CCATGCCCCTTGCACCCAGGTCCTGCACCCAGGAGTGGGCTGGCAGCAGGGGCACACTGCTGCCCACCCTCAGCATTTTGCTGCAGTGCAGCAGCCCCTCTCTGCAGGTGGAGAGTTGAGCACAGCCCTCTCACACTTTCCCCAGGAGGATGTGCATGACCAGCAGCTCAATGCAGGCAGCAGCATGGGGAGCTGGGGAAGAAGGAAGAGCAAAGGTGGGGTTACCTCATAAGAGGCCATTTGAGGGGTCACTGCTTCCCCCTTTTCAGGCTGGCTCGTTTCACTATCTGAGCCCCCATCCTGCCCCCAGAGACCTCTGGTTTCGGGACACGCACTTGCACCTCCTCCTGAGGAAGCCGCAGGGGCAGGAAGCAGGGTATCACCCAGGTGAACAGACAGACATACAGAAGAGGGAGAGGGAAAGGAGAGAAGACAGGAGAGGGAAAGGCAGAGTCAGTTGGCAGAAGACACTGAGTAAGAAGACAGCTGTAGTGGGCAAGAGCTGCCCCCTGGAAGCCTTAGAGGGGAAACAGGAGAGGAGAGCAGGGCAAGAGAAAGGACAGAAGGTGGTGGAGCCCTAGAGCCTGCGAGTCCTGCAGAGGCAGAGCTGGCCCCAGGCAGGACACCTGCAAGGCAGGGCTATGAGCCACACTGTACCTTGGCCCCCAGACCGTCCCGGTGCAGGATGGTGTATTTCATGAAGTGATTGTCCTCAGCCTCCAGGTCTTGGGGCTCCTGCAAGGAGCCCTCCAGAATCAGCTCCTCCTGCTCCTGCCTGTCATCCATGTCACCAGGGCCCAGCTGACGCACCACTTTCCTGATGACCTGTGGAGACCCGCAGTTGGGCATCACAGCTCGTCCCCAGCACCATGCCTCCCTCCTCGCCCAGTCTGGCCCTGAACTGCACATGATGTGCAGGGTTCATACGTAGGGTCTGTCTGGAGAAGTGCTGTGACCGTAAGTGACAACAGCGGGACATGGGTGCCCTGCATGGGCCCCTGGGCTGCAGGGAGGAGCAGGGCAGCCAGGCAGAGGGGAGAGGAGAAAGGCTGCAGCATGCCCTCACTCGTACCATGCCCTTGATCACTCACCTTCTTGGTGATGATATTGCCTTGATCATCTGTGAACTGCTCCTCAGTCACCTGCTCTCCAGGGAGATGAAGCACTTCGTTCCCCTGCAGTGACAGGAGGGACACCAGGGCATTTCAGGGAGGTGAGGGGAGCCCCTTTGCAGGCAGAACAGTGCACCTGACATGCACCCCATAGCCTCTGTCTCCCACCCTGCCCCGTTCCTTCACTGCTCTCCTTTGCACCTGCCCCGGGGCTGGTCTCTCAGCTCCCTGCTCATTACCTTCACAAGGACACGCCGGCGAACCGCCCGGCTGGGGAGGGCCCCCTCGCCGCCCGCCAGCCCCTGGCTCTCCCCGAGCTCCTTGTCCAGCTCGCGGTGGGCGTGTTTGAGCAGGAAGCGGACAGAGCCCCTGACGATGTGCATGACATTCTGGCAGCTGACCAGGAAGAAGGCCAGCAGCACCAGGGCGATCAGCAGCTGGGCCAGGAAAGCCCACATCCTACCTCAGCTGCACGCGTGTCCCGTGGGTCGGAGCCCGCGGCTCAGAGCCTGGACATGATCTCTGGCTGGGATCGCCGAAACCACCGGGCCAGCAGAGGCCCCGCGGGCG